GCATAATCTCAGAATAAGTTATCTCACCTCTACGACAGAAATGAAAAATAATTTCTTCCATCGACGGGAAATAAACCTGTGACAACCCATGTTCCTAACAAGATGGTTGAATTGAATACAAGTGGAATTATGGTATTGTTTTGCCATAATGTTGAAAGGTTCATTCGAGGTGGACCAATGCCCGTAATGTTATTGACTGACAGGTAAGGTCCAAATGTCTGATTAGCCTATATCCTGTCTTATATCAGAATATTTCATCTCTATTCTCCTCTCACTGTGTCCTTCTCTCATTGCAGCAGACGTGATTTGTTGCTATTTGTCGTTATCAGCCTTAGTGTCTCTGTCTGCAAATCTTTCTCTCTCCTCTGGTGCCACGGATGAATTTTGAAAGGGAGAATGGCCTCTTACATTATCTGAACAACTGTCTCAATTAATAGAATGCCTTACCTTTCCAATGTCATGCGGTACAGACTGCGTTTCGACTTTTACATCCACATCCCACTGTTTCTCTCTCTTGAGTTCTTCCTCTCTCCCTCTTATTTGTTTCTGACTACTGTAATCTCTTCACTTTATCTCATTCCCTGAAAGTTTCTCCCTCTATCAAACAATTGCTGCTCGTCGCTAACTCCATGAATCTCTTCCTAGATCTCTTCCACCCAACCCCCTACTTCTCTATCTCTCAGGCATTTTCCTAAAACATTCCTGCCTCTGACACTTCGTAGATTATACACTCTCTGGCTCTTCGTTTATCTGTATGTCTACTGTACTCTCTGTACTTCTTACTATCTATTCATTTTGATCATCTCGTTTTTTTCCCTCCCTTCTTGTTTAGTAGCATTGAAGTGCAAACAAAATCTGTGCAAGTGTTACCGCGAGTGAAAGTCAAGGAGAATGTAAGCCAGACACAGAAGACACTGAGACAATAACAAGCCACGTGGTAGAGAGGGAGAGAGATAGAAGCAAGTTTCATTTTTCTGACTAAAGTTGTTATGATCATGATACAATAAGATTCCATAACCGTTGAACAAAACTTCAAGTTGACTGCAAATTCAAATGACAGAAGCTTATACTAAATCACAGAATAAAAAAAAAACTGGAAAATTATAAATATAGTTCATAACGCAACAGTCTGTACTTTGGTAACGACATTTAAACATTGTCTGTACTGCCTGCAGCAATCGGGTTTCTCTCAAAGTAAAGAAAATGCAAGCAATTTGAGGACGTGCAGGGAACGGCAGTAGAAAAGAGCCTGTCATGTAGATAGATGACAATGATGTGACAGAATCCAAGGTGTACTGTCAGGTCCTTTACTGCAATAGTGGAGAACTTGGAGCATAATGTGGAGAGGAGTAGGGATCTCCTCTAGAGACCGCGCATTCCTGTGAAGAGATACACAAAAGTATTGGAATCAGACAGTACTAACAGTCTACTCACGAGCACATTATCCTACCACCTCAGTGCTATCAGTAAATGCAACGAATGACCCCATCATTTCCGTCATTGATAGAGTTCGATATAGTGATGCCTCTCTAACTGGAGACTTAACCAGTTCAGATGCGGTATCAAAACCCAAGAATACAGTTCAAATGCTCTATTTGTATTTGATAAATTGCCTCTTCAGGGACCCTAATAAAATGGAAATCGGTCGGAAACAGAGGCAAAGCTCGCAACTGTTCTGAATCTTTCACAACACAATAGGAGCGACATGAATTTGTTGGAGACTTATCTACTCTATGTCACAATAGAGTTACTAGATTTCTCAGAGTAGTGCCACAAGCACAGTCAAGTTCTACGACGTCATGATCATCATTTCCTCGAGTATAAGAACAAAACGCGAGAGATTTCCTTTACATTGTGCAGTCCTCGCTAACATCTGCAAATCTTGATATACTGAAGTAGTTTCTGCCCACATGCAGAACAACATGGACTCCGTTAAAGTTTAGACTTATTATCTCAGAGTCACATTCAGTCACACAATTCGCCCATCAAAGAGATAGTTAACTAGATTGCCTGACATTCGTGAGGAATAATTGAATTTGGGTTCAACATATTGTTCATTATGACTAAGCCGAGTCTTAGAATTCAGACTTCCTAAGTGGTGACCTCCACTTATTCGGTATTGAGAACTTAATCGGAAACTTTGTTTAGAACTGCAGCCGAAATATTGTGTTGCCTATTTACTCTTACCATCTCACTGTTGTCTGGATTAAATTTTCATCTGCCCAGGGCAACCACAAAGGGAGAGAAACCAAAAGAACTGAGGATGCTGTAAATCAGGAACAAAACAAAGTTGCTGGAAAAGCTCAGCAGGTCTGGCAGCATCTGTGGAGGAGAAAACAGAATTAATGTTTCGGGTCCAGTGACGCTTCCTCAGAACTGATGGTGGCTGGGAAAACGTCAGTTTATATGCCGAAAATAGGGAGGTGGGTGAGATAGGGAGTAAACGATCGGATAGAGCCCAAAGAGAGAGAAAGACAGTTGGACAGACAAAGGAGTTGCTAACGATCAGGCTGGGAGGGTGAATTGTTGTCAATGGGGACTGTTAGTGACTAACAACAGCGGGTGTGTAGTGGCAGGCTATGTGGTAACAAGGCCTGGTGTGTGGGGTGGGTGGCTGGGACATGGGAGAGTTTAGGCCCTAAAATTATTGAACTCAATATTGAGTGCGGAGGGCTTTAGGGTCCCCAAGCGGAAAATGAAGTGTTGTTCCTTCAGCTTGCGTTGGGCTTCACTGGAACACTGTAGCAAGCTGGAGACAGAGATGTTGGCCAGAGAGCAGGGTGGTGCATTGAAGTGGCAGGCAACAGGTAATTCAGGATCTTTTTTGCGAGTAGAACGTAGATGTTCTGCGAAGCGGTCGCCAAGTCTATGCTTCGTTTCCCCAATGTAGAGACAACTTTGTGAGCAGCGAATGCAGTAGACCAGATTATTGGAAGTGCAGGTGACGTGTTGCTTCACCTGAAAGGTATGTTTGGCCCCTTGGATACTGAGGAGGGAGGAGGTATCCATTACAAACCTACCGACTCCCACAACTACCTGGTCTATACACCCTCACACCCCAATTCTTGTAAAGAAACCATCCCATTCTCTCAGTTCCTCCGTCTCCGAAGCATATGTTCAGATGAGGCCAACTTCGACAAGGGAGCCTCTGAAATGTCCACATTCTTCCTCAATCGAGGATTCCCCAGCTCCGCTGTCGACAGGGCCCTCAATCGGGTCCGACCCATCTCCCGCACTTCTGCCCTCACCACTTCTCTTCCCTCCCGCAGCAGCGATAGGGTTCCTTATATCCTCACCTACCATCCCACCAGCATCCACATCCAGAAGATCATCAGACGCCATTTCTGCCACCTCCAGCAAGATGCCACCACCAGACATATATTCCCCTCCCCTCCCTTGTCGGCCTTCCGCAGGAACCGTTCCCTTCAGGACACTATGGTCCACTCTTCCTTCACCCCCAACACCTTCCCACAGCCCAACGGCACCTTCCCCTGTAACTGGTGTAACACCTCCTCCCTCCCCAGACTTTGGATCCGTTCTCAATGGAAAGTTAGAATTAAAAGGGAGATCTTATTGAGCCGCACAGAATACCAAGAGGCTTTGATACAAAGAGCGTAAATAAGATGTTGCTAATAGTAGGACAGTCTCGGACACTAGGGCACAGCCTTAGCGTGATGGAACGGATCTTTAGAACTGAGATGAAAAGGACTTTCTACAGCCAGAGGGTGGTGAACCTCTGGAACTAGTTTACACAGAAAGTTGAGGAGACCAAGTCATTAACTGACTTTAAGGTCGAGATAAATGCGTTCTTGATTAGCAAGAGATCAGAGACGTAATCCAGGAGAGAGGTGTTATGAAACATTTTTGCCATAATCAAATGGGAGAACACATTGGTGGGCATAATGACGTCATTCTGCTCCAATGTCTTATGTTCTTACTGTCTAAAACTGGAAACGGGGACAAAGGAAAGGGAAGAGGAAGATGAGTTAGAACAGTACAGGATCAATAAAGACACGTGTGGCAGAATTACATTCAGAAGACAGAAGAAGTGTAAAATAGGAAACTTTAAAACAAAATACGAAATAGCCATCCCGGCTTACAGAAGCTAAACGTTCTATAAAGTCATCAATTTAAACAAAAAGCAACATTATAAAATAAATTTCCTTCTGCATCACTTATAGGTTCGCCATGGTTGGTTACAGAGGTGAACAATCTGAAGCATATCTAACCAGAAAGGATACGAGAAACTCTTCCAGAGATGTATAAACGTTTAATCTGCTCATTTTGCGAACTGTGTATATTTTTCAATGCTACCAGCGAGACATTGCTGATGAATTATATCACGAAGTTTCCAGCGGTGAAACAGCAGAAGAAGTCTTCCAAGAGATCTATTGCTCATATCTCCCCTTAGATGTTCTCACATAGCGTGCTCCGTTGACAATATACCATCTAGAATCGCTCGGTTGCCTCTCTGTTGTGGAATAGCAATTATAAATATCATGATTCTAGAATATGCATTGTGCCAAACCAGAGAGCTACCTGGAGAAAAAGTGAATTTTATTCTACTTTGTGTCATGTTCAGTGAGAGACGTTTTGCCTGTGGCTGTGTGTCAGTCATGGATTGTATATCGCAAAGAGCAGTGTGGTTACATTTTCGTTCAGGCATCTCAGAATGGAATATGGCCTATGGCGACAAAAAAATTTAGTGGCCATCCTGTTACATGTAATTATTCTTTTACCGCATATTTTCACTCTTATTTGAACAAAGTATTTGTTTTTGAAATTAGACATTAGCTCCACGTACAGGTGGCACCAACAACGTATTGGTATTTCCAAAGAAAATTGAATGAAGACAGAGAAGAACAATATTCAACCAAGACTCTCTTTGCATGCTGATGTCCGTTTTCTTTTTCTCTCTATCGGTAACCATTTTGCCTAACCTCACAGCCTGAAAGGTGGTGAATATCCTTTGCTAGTTTTTGTACATGCTGACTGTGTCCCTATAACAATGTGGGACGCAGTGCACAATGATACACGGCGGAGTCAGAGACAAGAACCCTAAGGACTCTCAAGGTAACAATTTTTTGTTTGTTGTCCAAAGAAGCAGCGAACCTGCTGCGGAAATTTAGAGAAGTCTCTCCCAGATCATTGCCGTATCTCTTCAATACATACGTCAGGGAACTCCCTGGGTACTGAATATACCAGAAGAGGTAAGGATAAGTATCAGACGTGGAGTAACTGCAGTTCAGTGTGATAGTCTCTCCTTCCCGAGCTGTTAAATCAGACGTATCCTGAGAGACTGAATCGATGCCACTTGTACCTGCAACAGGAATATAAAATTCAAATTAAAAATTGGAGGAAGTACACCCAACAAGCACTAGTGTAAAAAAAAATACACTCACCAGGCATCAAGATCAGTCCTATCAGCAAGAAACGTGAAGAACACATCGTTTCTGGTTTAAATGTAAATGAAATGCAGCTGTATTATTTAACCGTGTTAAAAGTGGTGCAAAATATAGAAGAGTGAAAGTAGGGGGTGATGTCCTTGCATGGGATAAAAGGAAATACTATCCTGGGACATGATTGGCTGATAACTCATTCCTGGTGCGATCTGTGTACCAATCCGTGTCAGTTGCATCTAATTACTGCATGATATCCCAAAGCTCTTTGCAAACATTATTTTTTCTCTCTTTTTGTGCGTATATTTCTGTCAGTAATCTGTCTTTCTCTGTCATTTTGTTTCTCACTCTGTCTCCCACTGAATTCAGTTCCCTGCCGTACATCTCTGCCCACCATGCCTTTGGCCTTCATCTAAATGTTTCTGTCCTGTTTCTTCATTAAATTAAAAGTGAAAGCATTAATTCTGTCAATGTATTCCATTAGTAACTGCAATTTTACTGAGATTAATAACACGATATGCAGCCATTATGATAATAGTCGCCTTTGAAATTACTGATTCAAGATCAAACACGATACCTTTGAACTGGAGAACCTTCAAGAAGTGGTGAGGTGCAACGACAGTTGTACTATATAATCTTAACGAAAACTATTTGCCTCGATTAATGTTCCCTAATCTCTGCCATAACACAAAGACTTAGGTGTTGTCAGAAACATCTCTTAGTGGTTCTCGTGGTGCGAACTGGAATGCATAATGTCTAAGAATTGAAAGTAGAAAGCGCTCTTCAGCTCAGTATTGGAGTCACACAGTGAAATGAGAGGGAGGTAAACTCATCCTGTCACCTTACTCACTGCAGTTGGACATGTCCATTAGACTACAATGTCCAATTCAGGTATTGCCAAAGATGAAAGCCTTTGGAGAAACTGCCGATTCAACAGAAAGATGCTAGAGCTGAGAACCTCTCATATGAAAACAATTGAAAAATATAACGTGATATCTTTTCATTACATAGGATAGAATGACAGTTAATTGACTTGCTGAAATTTCATCGTTTAAAATTTGTTGATCGCACCTTATGTTTAAATGCATTCACAGGTTCCAGGCCAATATTTATCGTCCATCCCAGAGGGAAGAAACGAGTCAACCACATTGCTGTGGGTCTGGAGTTACATGTTGGCCAGACCGGGCAATGATGGCAGGTTTCATCCCTGAAGTGAACCAGATATATTTTTTTTCCAACAATCAACAATGTTATCATAGCCATCACTAGACGCTTAATTCCGGTTTTTTACTGAAAAGGATTCGAAGCCCCGTCTCCAGACCATTGCCTGGATCTCTATATTAACAATCCAACAAAACACCACGAGGTCATTGCCTCCCCATTGTTCAGGTTTCTAACAGTCGACGATTAAAAAACAAGTTTTCCGAACTGTAGAGGAGGATAAAGATCGGGAAAGTTGATTTGTATTTATTTTACTGCGATTTGTTACGATCTGGAACACAATATCCAATGTAATGGGGAAATAAGATTCAAGTATAAATTTACAAAATGTGGGATCTGAAAGATGAGGAGAGAAACACATTCATTCAGGCAATTCGATTACTCACTTTTAGAAGTTGCTATTTATTTCATAGTTCCCTAACACGACTACCCGTGCACTGAACCCCTCTCAGCCAGCTAATTTTCTCTGCAGCTGTACATTGAGCAGGTGCAGGGTGTGGGCAAGCCTTCTCGATGCTCAGTCATTACTATTTCAATCCCATCATTGTATCTTCGGCTGGTGACGCTGCTCTCAGCTTTGAGACTGCGGTTTTCTTGCTCAACATTTTGCTCTGCAGGCTTATACTCGACACAATTTACGTTTATAGTTAATTTGATACCTTTGAGCAATTCTAGAGAAGTAGGTTGTGAGACAGGGATCAGTGTTTTGGATCTGACAGGTCACTTCCTGCATTGTTATGTAAACGTGTCTGGAATTCTCATGGGATACAGATTCATGCAGCTTCTCATAATAATAGCATTAACGGTCGTTTTCTTTTAATTCATTAAGCAATGTGAGTGAAGTGAGCACTCGGCTTATCTCCATTCACCTGCAGCCAGTTATAACTTCTTTGGCCATAATTGATGTCATTGTTGGTAAAATGTTAGTGATGATTTTTGGTGCTTACGATGATCAGAGAGTTTGATGCTGATTGTTGATATCATTTTTGCTCTGTGTTAGAGTGTAGCTGCTATGGAACAATACGACATCCAACGTCTGAACTAACTGTCGTAAAAATAGATGATGCCATGGTAAAGCGCACTTTCAATACATATGAACATGATCCTTTTGGGTTCTCGTGCAGTGATCACCTGTGATGTTTAAGGTTTCATAGAACTGATATAACAATTATAAGTATCCTGAAACTGCCGTTTGTCTCTGCGCAATTAGGACCACACAGAGACGCAGTCAATTCCCTACAATTCAAACAGACACCCAGATGGTGCCAGCTAGAAGGCCACTTTATACGGAAGCACGTTAAGAGCCATTCCGTTTACAGTCTTTGTGAGATGGACTTTTCGCTGTCTTTCATCTCTTCAGAAAAAAAAAGAGACTCTCGGATTGTGCAACCGTTTCTCTTCAATACGATGGTGTTTAATTCTCTTGAGTTCGTTTAAAACCAGGTTCTTACTTCAAGGGAGAAACGTTACCACAAACGCATGCCATTTTGAGTTTAGGACTTGTAATGACAATGAAAACAGAGAAAGATTGGTTGTGGTAATATCAATGGACTACTGATCCAGTGGTCCACATTAATGTTTTGCATTCAAAATATTTGGATTCAAAACCCTCCATTGCAGATACTGGCTATTGAAGTCAACGCACCAAATCCTGATTTTAAATCGAATTTCAGAAATGGTGACCGTGACGTAATAATAAACTGCTGTAAAAACAGATCTGATTCACGAACGTCTTTATGAAAACAAATCAGCCATCCTTACTCAGCTTGGCCAATTTGTGACTGCAGATGCACAGCAATATACATAACTCTGAACTGGACTCTGAAAATGTCAGGCAAGAAAACAACTTAATGTCAATAATGAGTGGGCAAAATTGCTGTCTAAATTTGTCATGATCCCATGATAGAATATAAATAATTATCTAAGATTAACAACAATTAACATTTATTACCATTTGCGAACGAGGCTAGATGAAGGGAATTTCTGTACAGCAGTATAGATGATGGTGATTAAAAACCAAAAGAACTGCAGATGCTGTAAATCAGGAACAAAAACAAAGCTGCTGGAAAAGCTCAGCAGGTCTGGCAGCATCTGTGGAAGAGAAAACAGAGTTAACTTTTCGGGTCCGGTGACCCTTCCTCAGAACTGATGGTGGCTGGGAAAACGTCAGTTTATATGCAGCCACAGAGAAGGATTGGAATTTATATGATGGTGATTGATAGACATGTGAACAGCAGCCTGTCTACGTCATGGCCAAAAGTGTGCGATGAGATGCAGTTGTACAAACATGGCTGCACAGAGAGAGGTGGAAAATGGAGAAGATAGGTTTTCATGTTTACACATGAAAACATGGTACAAGATTATCGGGAATATGTTTACAGATTTAACGATCGACAGTTCTGAATGCGGGTCTTTTTGAAGTTTGTTCTTATAGGTGTTATTTCCGCAACTATGTGACCTTCATTGCACAGAAATGTGCGGCAATATCACGTTTAAGTGCGGAGACAACCAATAACATGCAATTGTTACTAATTATGGCAAAGGAAGAAGAAAATAGATCAATGATGTTTTACCCAAAAATAGACATTGTTCATGATATCCGAAAGATTAAATTACAAAACATTTCAACTTTAAAACTGCGAAATTAAAAACAATCAAATTGTCTCCATGTGGCGTACTCCACTTTTAGATACATGAATAAAATTTTAATATTCTTAATAATTGCATTGAACATTCCATGTCAGGCACACAATTTAAGATCAAAACATTTAAACTGAAAATTAAGGACCTGCTGTCGGGTTCAACGTTTCAACCGACAAAATTTCCCCACATCCAGCCACCTCCACCAAATTTGAAATTCGGTTCTATTTGAAAAGAAATACCAATCTAATCGCAGGAATTTCAAATCTCGAGACATGCACAATTTGCTTTCAATTTCAGGCATTCTAGCCGTGGGGCCCTACAAGTTTCCTGCCTCTTGGTGCCGATTTGTTAGGCATGACTTCCACTTGATGAAACGCGCAGACTCATCCTTTTTTTTTCCATCCACTTCAAGTATCATCCTTAATAACGGTCACTACATACTTACTAATAAAGGACAATAATTGGCCTGTAATTTACAGTATTATATGCCTCTCTCTTCCTAAAGATCGTGTTACATTAGCCATTTTTCACCCCTCCAGCACATTGTCTGACTCCAGTGATTCATGAAAGGTCACCGTCAGTTTCTCCATTATCTCCTCAGGTATTTCCGTCAGAATGTTGCAGTGCAGCACATCGGTTTGGGTGACTTACCCACTCCATACCTTTCAGCTGCCCCAGCACCTCCACCTTCGTGATGTCCACTGCACTCAAATATGCCTCTGACGCTCTTGAAATTGTGATATGCTATTGGGGTCTTCAAACGTGAAAACTGATGGAAAATACGTATTCCGTTACTTCACTATTTCGTTTTTTCCTCATTAGTATTTCTCCAACCTCATTTTCCATTTGTCTAATGCAGATTCTTGTCCCTCTCTTATCTTTCATATATCCAGAACTAACTCTTACAATTTGCTTTTATATGAGTAACTAACATTCTCATATTTAATCTACGCTGCATTTGTTACTATCATCAGTTGTTCTCTGCTGATTTTAAAGGTTTTCCGATAATCTAGTTTCCCAGTAATCTTCACTGTATTATATGCTTTCTATTTTGCTTTTATGCGGCACTTGACTTAACTTGTCAGCTATTTGGTTTTGTTCCGCTCTTAGATTGCTTCTTCTTCCTTAGAATGAATTTCTGCTGTATATCCCGAATTACCCCAGAACTTCCCATTATTGCTGCTCCCTTCCGATCAACTCTGGTCG